TTACATAAAATTCGATCATGGATTACATAAAATTCGATCATGGATTACATAAAATTCGATCATGGATTACAAAAAAAAACAAAAAAAAAAACAAAAAATTCAATCGTGGATTACAAAAAAAGAAAAAAACAATTCGATCATGGATTACAAAAAATTCAATCATGTATTACAAAAAACTCATCATGGGTTACAAAAAAAGCAAAAAACAAAAAATTCAATCATGGATTACAAAAAAAAAACAAACATTTCGATCATGGATTACAAAAAATTCTATCATGGGTTACAAAAAAAAAACAAAAACAAAAAATTCGATCATGGATTACAAGAAAAAAAACAAACATTTCGATCATGGATTACAAAAAATTCGATCATGGATTACAAAAAATTCTATCATGGGTTACAAAAAAATAAAAAATTCGATCATGGATTACAAAAAAACAAAAACAATTCGATCATGGATTACAAAAAAATTGATCAAGTATTACAAAAAAATCTATCATGGATTACCAAAAAAAAATAAACAAATAAATAAATAAAAATTCCGTACGGGACTCGCCGATTCACTGTTCGGACTCGCCGATTCCGTACGGTGAATCGGCGATTCACTGTACAGAATCGTCCGGTTCTCTCTAGAACCGGACGATTTCCTATTTTTTAACCGATACGATCCACTTTTTACGATTTTCGAGTCGAACCGGGCGAGTCCGGTTCGACTCGACGTTTTTTAAAACACTGCCCTCAATACAAAAAGTTTATTTTTTTTTACAAAAATACCATTTTGTACATAACAAATCATTTTCGAATCTCAATAAAAAAAAAAAGCCAGACCGCAGTTGTACATTTGACGGACCGAAATTGTACACTGCCGAGCCGTTTATTCCAGACACAATTTTGTCTGACCGTAGCTCACAAATGCAAGACCGCTCGTCAATCCAAAACACATGTTGAACTACTATTGCAAAACACCAGAAGACCCATTATTCCAGTAACGTGGGTGTCGAATCGCCACTTCAAAATGCCAGACTGCCACTATGAGATGCCGGACCGCCATTATGAAACGTCAGACCGCCACTTCAAAACGCCAGACTGCCACTATGAAACATCGAACCCCCCATTTTAGTAAGATAAGCACCAGATCGCCTCTTCCAAACGTTGGACCGCCTACACCAGTGACATAAGCACCAGAGCGTAGCTCACTAATGCCAATCTGCTCATTAATTCATAAACAAATGACGGATCAAACTTGTAAAACACCGAAATGCCTAGAAAGAGGAAAATCATGAGGGAAAAAGAAAAATTGAGGGAAAATAAAAAATGAAGGGGAAGGTAGTTTAGTCTTTATTTTATATATTTTTTAGATTGGAGGTATTTTGCTATAAAACTTGGTTTTGAAGAAAAAAATGGTATGAAAAATTATGTTGGGCAAAGTACTTAGAAAGTCTAATTTTGATGTTTTATACAACTTATTTTTTATTTTTTTGTAAGTAATGAACTTATGAGACCCTCTCACACCTATGCGTGTAGAACCCCAAAGGATCACTATTATATTTGGCACAAATCTTTATAAAAGTTATTACATAGGTGTGAAACTTGACTTTTATAACGATCAAATTTAATGGTGATTCTTTAAGGTGCTATAAACATGGGTATGGGAGGGTCTCATAAAATCGTTTATCTTTTTTTATATTCTCTTTAAAAATAATAATAATAAAAAATTTAAAAATAAAATAAAATAATAATAATAATATTTGCCCTTTTTGCCAAAGACAAATACACTCTCTACGTTCAATACCCCTCTCAACGCGCTTTACGTAGAAAATACACCTCTCTCTCTACACACACTCTGTTTTCTTGGAAAGTGTCTTCACTCTCTCTCTCTCGCCCTTTCCCTTCGAAACGACTCTCTCTCTCTCTCAAGCCCGAGAGCCAAAGGGGAACAGCCTTCGTAGGTGTCATTAGCCTCACAGATCCGCCATTTAGGAGTAGATCTGAACCCCCCGATCTTCCCACCGTGGATTCCAGCCCTTGACCTCATTCATGAATCGAGATTTAGGGTTCCTGTGAAAATATTTTCTGCCACTTGGGTTTTCTATCTACTCATTCCAGGTATCACTCTCTCTCTCTGCATCTTATGATCAAAATTCTCTCTTATGTGTCTGGTTTGGATGAAAATTAAGATTTATTTCATGAATGAATTTGGAGATCTTACTTTCTTAATATTATTTTGTCCATTTTATGGGGTGATTCTGTGTAATATATATCGGTTGTTATGTGAAAAGGTTTCCACTTTCTAGCTTTGAGTATGTGTTTTTGTTGATAGCTGAAATCTGTGAATGTATTAATTGGATCATGTATTAAAAGTTTAAAATTTGTTTTATTCATTCTCTGGAATGAGATGTTGAATTTCGTTCAATAATGTATTTGGAGCTACTTGACCTGAATTTTTGGGTTTCATATTTTTTTTTTGAAAAGCTATCCGAAGATATTACAGAACAGAAAAATAGAACTCATAGAATTTCATCTCTTGCATTTACTTTCGTTGATATCGAACCATCAGGCAGGTTTCTTATGGTCACACTTGAAAATCAGAGTTAAGTAGAAAACCCTTATTCTGGACAATGTTGTATATCTGTCAAATTTCACTTAATTTTTCTGGAGATTTGTAGATATACGTAAAAAACGTGTTATTAAGAAATAAAAAGGGGAGAAACATGTATGTAATTTGTTTGGTGGCTAAGCTGTCCTCATTTTGTCCACAGGGGCTCAAAACTAAATTTGTTATTTTTGGGTCCTTATGATGGAGTCTTGCTCAGCATCTTATTCAGTCCATTTACTGCCCTGGATAATGTGTCTTGGCAAGTCCACTCATGCGAGAAACAGAAATGCATGTGCAATGTGGAAAGTTCTGATCTTTATTCTCAAGAAAAGAGAAAAAAGAAAAGAAAATGGAAAGATCTGATGTTTATGTTGAGGTCAAGATTCATTCGCTATTTGTGCTTCTTTGGAATTGTGGTGTGGATTTTGAGAAATTTTTGACCTGCAAAAACCAAAATTAAGGTACATGTCAGCTTGCTGTTCAAAGTTTGTTTTATCTCGGGTATGTAGATTCCATTGTTAAAATGGTGCCCACACATCTAAAATATGCAGCCTTGGATGATTTCCAAATTTATGCCTGACCGAACAATCACCCTACATTGATACACAAATTTCCAATCGATTCTATATGAATCCAATGTAAGTGCGCCAACTTCGCTCCTTCATCCTAGATAGAGAAGCGATGTTGCCAACGAGCTCCCCACAATTTAGCTGAACTCGGTCTCTCAAAATATATGATGAGAGGAATTCCTGTAGTGTGATGCATAAACTGATCATTAGTTCAGAGGTTTCTACATATGCCCTTTGAATTCACTTGGGACATATTTTCAAACCCACTTTTGCATCCCCCCAAATGTATATGTGCTCATGGGATCTAGGCTGGTGGTTTCTCCTCCCTTTCTATCGTGAATCCTCTCCCTTGTTTGCTGTTTGTCTTTTGGATCCTCACTCTGGCAAGCTACCTTGTTTCGCAATGACATCCTTTAGTATTTATTTTTACAAACTTATTTAGGCAAGGCAATCCACTCCTAGTTCAATCATACTTGATGTAATAGTCTCATGCAAAGAGCTTCTTCCTTTTTTTTAATCTTTGTGAACCCTATGATGCCTTATTTTTTTATGTTTTATTTTTATAATTTTTATTGTTTTTAACGTTAACTCTTAGTACTAGATTAGCGATTTTTGAAACCATTAGTAATTTTCGAAAGGGAGCATTGGTAGGAATGGAAACCGAGATCGCTAGCTGAGTCATAGGTGGTGTTACCACCTTGACTTCAACCCCTTTCCTATTGTGGGCCCTATGATGTTTTGCTTGCGATTACCAAGATGGGGTGGTCGCCAATTTGTGCCTGTGCTGCTTTGGGACCCAAGGCCCCTGGGATCCTTGGGTTCTTTGATATGTATCATCTGTATGCAATGTTAATTTATGTTTCTCTGTATTCATTTACTCAAGACTTGTATGGACTTGAGCTTATTACCATTTTCAAGATTGGTCTAACCTGTCGAAGTTGGCCTGACTTGCTTGACTCAACCATATTCTGTCCCAACTTGAGCTACCCCATGGGTGAGGTTAAGTCCATCCTCAAAAACTGTGTACTAAGATTACTAAATGGCGGTTGAGTTAGTATTCGATAGTCATCAGAAATGATCCTCACTAAGAAAATACTTATGAAATGCACGAGGTGTTCTGCAGGCCCCATATTCATCATGACATGCTATAATGTGTTACGAATTAACCATTAAAATGAAATTGTTTTCACTAAACCAATGAAAGCAAAATAAAAGAAAAAAGTCCTAGGTTGGCTTCTGCAAATTATTATCTTGTGCATGTTTGACCTTGTTTCATGAATTCATCCCTATGTTATTTGGGAAAACATTTATATGTTGTTTCACACGGTTTGCATTTATTGTGATGATTAGATAGTTGAACTTGGAATTCTGCGTGTTATTTTTGCTTGAGTGGCGAAATGTTTATGTTTGTTTACTTTTTCTTTTTTGCCTTTTTTTATTGTCGGCTATTTCTGATCTAGTTCATGTAAGATTTACCTACAGACTAGGCCTCTTCTGCTGCTAATAACTGAAATATTTATATTGCATTTATTTTTGAATCTGAAGATTTTTTTTTTTTCATTATTAGGGATGCTAAAGGTCATAGCCTCATTGTTGTTTTATCATTTTTGCAGGTTAGCTTGCTTCATCTAATGTCTACATTTCCGGTTAATGTGATCATGTGGATGGCAAGTTTTTCTGCCTGGACCTCTATGCCTTTTGGGTCCTCCCATGACTATGCTGTTGATTTTGTGGCGAATAATTGAGAAGGCGGTGGTATCAATGTAGTGTTTTCACATGTCATATGAGATGCAGTGCAATACACTGAAGCTGCTCTATGTGTTGATGAGCATTTTTGGAAGATAAAAAGCGCTGCATTTATTTAGTATATTTAGAGGAAGTTCAGAAACCACATATTAGAATGGGGCGTCCAAAGCTTCAGACTGGTATTAAGGCAATAGAGGAAGAGCGTAGTGAAGACTGTGAATGCACGTCTAATAGAGGGGCTCTTGCCTGTATGGTGAACTCAGAAGTTGGGGCTGTATTGGCAGTGATGAGAAGAAATGTTAGATGGGGTGGTCGTTATATGGCAGGAGATGACCAGTTGGAACACACCTTAGTTCAGTCTCTTAAAGCATTGAGGAGGCAGATCTTCTCATGGGATCAGAATTGGCAATCAATTAACCCAGCTGTTTACCTCAAACCATTTTTGGATGTGATTAGATCTGATGAAACTGGTGCCCCCATCACAGGAGTTGCTTTAACTTCTGTTTACAAGATTCTATCCCTTGAGATATTTGATCTAAATACAGTGAATGTAGAAGAAGCAATGCATTCGATAGTGGATGCAGTGACAAGTTGTCGATTTGAGGTGATAGATCCTGCCTCTGAAGAGGTGGTATTAATGAAGATACTCCAAGTTCTTTTGGCTTGCATGAAGAGTAAGGCATCAGTGGTTTTGAGTAACCAGCATGTGTGTACCATAGTGAATACATGCTTTCGTATAGTTCATCAAGCCGGAACCAAAGGGGAGTTGTTGCAAAGAATAGCTCGACACACGATGCATGAGCTCATTAGGTGTATTTTTGCACATTTGCCGGATATTGAGTGCACGGAAGGGAGTTCGTTGAGTAATGGGAATGCCGCATTTATCAAATCTGATGCCCTGGTAAGAATCATAATTTTATTGCTCACTTTACCCCTTTTGTAATCCATATATAAATTGAGGTTTCTCTTTGCAGGTGGGTGAGAAAGATTACACTTTTGTCTCTAAGAAATCAGAAAATGGAAATGGGAGTCTTGATCCTGAAAACCCGCCAGTCTCAGTTGGGTTTGCTACTAATGCTTCAGGGAACTCGGTGGCAAGTTTGGCTGATGATAATGTGATAGGAATTGGGAGCAGTAATGATGGGGCAAGTGATGGTCATCTTATGACTGAGCCATATGGTGTTCCATGCATGGTGGAGATATTCCATTTCTTGTGTTCCCTACTCAATTTCGGTGAGCACGTTGGGATGGGGCAGAGGTCAAACACCATAGCATTCGATGAAGATGTGCCACTATTTGCTTTGGGCTTAATAAACTCTGCAATTGAATTGGGGGGCCTTGCAATAGAACGCCATGCCAAGCTATTGTCGCTGATACAAGATGAGCTCTTTCGAAATCTCATGCAGTTTGGATTGTCAATGAGCCCACTGATTCTCTCGATGGTATGCAGTGTGGTGCTCAATCTGTATCACCATTTGCGAACAGAGTTGAAGCTTCAGCTTGAGGCTTTCTTCTCGTGTGTGATATTGAGGCTGGCACAAAGCAGGTATGGGGCTTCATATCAGCAGCAGGAGGTGACCATGGAGGCCCTTGTCGATTTTTGCAGGCAAACCTCGTTCATGTCTGAGATGTATGCAAACTTTGATTGTGACATCACTTGCACCAATGTTTTTGAAGACCTTGCAAACCTTTTATCCAAGAGTGCCTTCCCTGTAAATTGCCCTCTATCTGCCATGCATATTCTTGCTTTAGATGGCTTGATTGCAGTTATTCAGGGTATGGCTGAGAGGGTTGGCTCCTCTCAATCTTTAGAGCAGGGAATAGTAGGAGATCTTGAAGAATATAATCCTTTCTGGACAGTGAAGTGTGAGAACTATAGTGATGCTTCTCAATGGGTGGGCTTTGTGCGTCGAAGGAAGTTCATAAAGAGGAGGTTGATGATTGGTGCTGACCACTTTAACAGGGACCCGAAGAAAGGGCTAGAGTTTTTACAGGGAACCCATCTTTTGCCTGATAAGCTTGATCCACAAAGTGTGGCATGCTTTTTCAGGTACACAGCAGGGTTGGATAAGAACCTTGTTGGCGATTTTCTCGGAAACCATGATGATTTTTGTGTTCAAGTGCTTCATGAATTTGCTCGAACATTTGATTTTGAAGACATGAATTTGGACACTGCACTTCGATTGTTCTTGGAAACTTTCCGATTACCAGGAGAGTCCCAGAAGATACAGAGGGTTCTTGAGGCTTTCTCGGAGAGATACTACGAGCAATCACCCCATATTTTGGCGGACAAAGATGCAGCGCTCTTGTTATCGTATTCTCTCATTATGCTCAACACTGATCAGCATAATGTGCAAGTTAAAAAGAAGATGACAGAAGAGGACTTCATCCGAAATAATCGTCATATCAATGCTGGGAAAGACCTCCCACGGGAATTTCTCTCTGATCTTTATCAGTCTATATGCAAGAATGAGATTAGGACTTCACCTGAGCAAGGTGCTGGGTTCCCAGAAATGACTCCTAGCCATTGGATCGACCTCATGAAGAAATCAAAGAAGACTCCACCTTACATTGTCTGTGATTCTCAAGCCTTTCTTGATCACGATATGTTTGCTATCATGTCGGGTCCAACTATTGCAGCAATATCAGTGGTTTTTGATCACGCAGAGCAAGAGGAGGTCTTCCAAACTTGTGTTGGTGGGTTCTTGGCAGTGGCAAAAATCTCAGCTAGCCACCATCTTGAAGATGTGCTTGATGACTTGGTCGTATCACTATGCAAATTCACCACTCTCTTGAACCCTGTTTCATCGGTTGAGGAGCCTGTTATTGCCTTTGGAGACGACACAAAAGCCAGGATGGCAACCATCACTGTGTTTACTATAGCAAACAGGTTTGGAGATTACATACGCACAGGATGGAGGAACATACTTGACTGTATCTTGAGGCTTCACAAGCTTGGCCTTCTCCCTGCTCGAGTAGCCAGTGATGCAGCTGATGATACTGAGCTGTCTACTGATCCTATTCATGGAAAACCTGTTTCCTCAACTTCTTTGACTGTGTCTCATATACCACCCATTGGAACCCCTCGAAGGTCTTCAGGGTTAATGGGTCGGTTTAGTCAGCTCTTATCTCTTGATGCAGAAGAACCCAGGTCTCAACCAACTGAACAACAACTTGCTGCTCATCAACGAACTCTCCAAACAATACAGAAGTGCCACATTGATAGCATTTTCACTGAGTCTAAGTTTTTGCAGGCTGATTCATTGCTTCAGCTTGCAAAGGCTTTGATTTGGGCGGCTGGTAGGCCACAAAAGGGGGGGAGCAGCTCTCCTGAAGATGAAGATACAGCAGTGTTTTGCCTTGAGCTACTGATTGCCATCACATTGAACAATCGAGACAGGATTGTGCTTCTATGGCAAGGTGTTTATGAGCACATAGCAAGCATTGTGCAATCTACAGTTATGCCCTGTGCTCTTGTGGAAAAGGCTGTATTTGGTCTTTTGCGCATTTGCCAAAGGCTTCTCCCCTATAAGGAAAACCTAGCTGACGAGCTCCTGAGGTCACTGCAATTGATATTGAAGCTTGACGCAAGAGTAGCCGATGCATATTGTGAACATATTACGCAAGATGTGATGAGATTGGTAAAGGCAAATGCATCTCATATTAAGTCTCAAATGGGGTGGCGAACCATTTCATCGCTTCTCTCCATTACGGCTAGGCACCCTGAGGCCTCTGAACCTGGGTTTGAGGCCCTCACCTTTGTCATGGCTGAGGGGGCTCATCTCACAAGGGCTAACTACTCCTTGTGCTTGGATGCTTCACGCCAGTTTGCTGAATCAAGAGTTGGGCTTACCGACCGGTCCTTACGAGCCCTTGACCTCATGGCTGACTCGGTCACATGCCTAGTGAAGTGGGCTCGTGAGGCCAAGGAGGCGGGCGAAGATGCTGGTCAAGAAATAGGGGAAATGTGGCTTAGGCTTGTGCAAGGGCTTAGGAAAGTGTGTTTAGAACAGAGGGAAGAGGTGAGAAACCATGCCCTCTCTGCCTTGCAGAGGTGCCTCACTTCCGCTGAAGGGATGGGACTTGCACCTGCCTTGTGGCTTCAATGCTTTGATTTGGTTGTGTTCACGATGCTTGATGATTTGCTCGAGATTGCTCAGGGCCACTCCCTCAAGGATTATCGAAATATGGAGGGAACTCTTCGTCTAGCTGTGAAATTGTTATCCAAGGTCTTTCTTCAGCTTTTGCACGAGCTTTCTCCACTACCTAACTTTTGTAAATTGTGGCTTGGTGTTCTTGGTCGAATGGACAAGTACATGAAGGCCAAGATAAGGGGAAAAAAGACAGAGAAACTTCAGGAAGAGGTCCCGGAGTTGCTAAAGAACATGCTATTGGTGATGAAAGCAAAGGGGGTGCTTGTGCAGAGAAGCACTCTTGGTGGTGATAGTTTATGGGAGCTTACATGGCTCCATGTTAATGGAATTGCCCCTTCTTTGCACTCTCAAGTGTTTCCTGATCAGGAAACGGAGCAAGAGGTTAAGGTGGCTGATACCCAAAGTCCTTTACATAGGAGTACTGATTCTTCTGCGGCGGTCAGTGATGGTTCTCCGGCTGCTGGAGAAAGTAATGCAAGATGAGGTATTTTTAGCAGTTATTAGGTGAAACGAATATTTCTTCATAGTATTGTTTAAATTCATAATTCAAAACCTGTATAATGATTGCTATTCTTTTCGGGATTTTTGGAAAACATATTCTCAGATACTGCTTGATTTTCCTGTGATATGCAACTTCTGCTTTTAATAAAGTATCTGGACTCTCATATTTGATATTGTATATTTCTTTGAATTTGATGAAATTATCTGATAACTGTAGAATATGTTATACTGTTTTTCAATTCTATGACCTACATTTATGGCAAGAAATATTAAATTTTGTGGTAGTAGTACCTCTTTAAATGCCATAGGTGACTAGATCTATCTTTGTGCACATGCAGGTGGCTGGATCACAATTTTGAAATCAATATACTGTTTGTCTAGCTCAATGTATTCAAAAATTAGACTTTTGAAGTGAGTTGACATTGAAGAGGAACCAGTCATTGCCATGCTGGAATTTCTATTAGGAGCAAACATGAGGAGGTCAAATGTAAATGTATGTGTGGATACAGAAGGCTTATTTTGGTGAAGTCCTTTCTATCTCCGAGAAAGGAATGTGCGGTCTTTTTTTGCTGGAAACAAGAATTCGTCTAGAGAGAGAACCGATGGATCTTACGAAACAGGTCTACTAAGAGAAAACAGATGCAAACTCCTCCCATAAGAATCTGAATGATGTGGATTGCCATGCTAAATTGGAAGTTGTCGTAGCCAATTGGATCATCTCATTTGTAAGGTCCTAATTTGATTGGATATGGGGCCTAATGCTTAGGTTTGTGCTCTTGGGGAACAAAGAGAGCAGATATCACAATAGTGAAAAGAGGTTTGGATTGGGTTTTTCTGTTTAAATGTACGCTTAATTTCTTATTTACGTTCTTTCGCCTCTTAATCTTGTCAAAAAGGAAAAGAAAAGGAAAAAAATACCGAAAGACCACCCAAGGAATGTTCTGTGAACTTATAGTGAACTTAGTCATCTTGTTTGTTTGTTTGGGTGAAGTTTATATAAGGCGCCCTCCTTATAAGCACCTCTAAATTTTGCATGGAGATATTATTTTGGTATTAGAAACCTTGCGGTGACGTGAAAATCTTTTTCATCTTTAGTCATGAAATTTAAAATTTAAAAAATAGTATAGATTGAGCAGAGCTATAGAGGCTTAAAAATCTTGATAATAGATGGTCTATATAGCTTTTCACAAGATGTATTAGTTTTAGAATTTGATTTTTTTTTTTTTTTTTTAATATATCCATGCTTCTCAAGGTGGCGATTATCAATTGGAGGGTTTTTCCAATGTTAGAACATTCTTTTTTAGAGGAATTTTTTTTGGTTGAGAATGTTAACCTTTAATCATTAAAGAGCAGTAGAGTACGAAAGACCTAGGCAATCCACTGTAGGGGGCGGATGCTGTAGGGGAGGAAGAGAGAAAGTAAAGGCAAATAAAAAAAGCCTTCTTTTAGAAGGTTACAATGACAATCACCCAAAAAAAGATGCCAATCCAAAAAACCAAAGAAGAAAAGGAAAATAAAACCAAAAAAGCCTTGATTTCCAGCCATTGTAGCTGCTTCTTTAGTTAGGCGTCGGCTTCCTTGTTTCCTTCTTGTCAGGTATGTCCCCATAAGATGGGCGTATCTGTGCAAAGGTAGTCAATCTCATAAAAAAGATGTGTCAGGATCCATGGGGAGGTGAAGAAAGCCCTTAGGCCCAAGAAATTGTATTCTTGAAATCTCCCTATACAATTATGGAATGTGGACTTAGCGTTTGGATGAGTTTGAGCCTTTTCAAAAGTGCTACGGCCTCGGTCGCCACTGAATTGGCAAGACCAATATGTTTGGGAATTGAAGCTACAGTAGTACCGTGGTGGTCTCTGATGATGGCTCCTATTCCGGATGGACCTGGGTTTTCGAGAGATTATCTATCGAAATTAAGTTTTACTTGGCCCTGTGGTGGAGGTCTCCAAATAGATGTCCGGGGTGGATGTTTGTGGTTGTGTCAAAACACGTTGCTCCAATTTTTTATGAAGGGCGAAAAGGGTACTCCTTTGAGGTAGTGGTAGTTGGTCCCCCAAAAATATGACTCTGGATTTGAGCTTGGTGAATGTCTTTGACCTGTGGATTTGAGCTTGGTGAATACCTTTGACCACGGGGAGTATTCTCCCCGAAAGATTCTACAGAATTTTTAATGTGCACCTTAGTTCAATAGTATAAAAGATGAAACTTGATATGAAATTTTTATTTTTATTTTTCATAGAATTTATAGAAAAGAGGATTGAAATCACCCAATGTTGGATAAACATAAAAGAGGAAATTACCAAGGAAAAAAAGGAAATGTGGTTACTTCATGAGCCGTGCAAGAACAATAAAGAATGAACTGTTGAGGTTATCAGTGATTAGTAAGTATAAGCAAAGGTTCATGCCTTCTGGTATTTTGAATGTCAGTGATAAAATAATATTGAGGATTTATATTCTGATGAGAACGAAAATGGTGAAAAAGGTATTGGATGCTCATCTTTCTTAGCAAAGATGGTTAACTCGAAAAATGCAAAGAACTGTGTATGAAATGGGGGGTTGAAGAAGAAAGAACCACTTTTAGTTTTCAATACAGGTGCGGCGAGTGGCATTTTCATCTTTCTTAGCAAAGATGGTTAACTCGAAAAATGCAAAGAACTGTGTATGAAATGGGGGATTGAAGAAGAAAGAACCACTTTTAGTTTTCAATACAGGTTCGGCGAGTGGCACTCCTCGAGAATTGAGGGGTTGCTAGCACACTGTTGTTGTCTATGATGGAGAGTCGAGGAGTTGCTAGCACACTGTTCATCGAATGGCACTTGTCAAGCGTCTCCTCAAACGTATGTTGCTGGCATCAGACGGTTTGAGGAGTTGCTAGCAGATTGTTCGAACCTCAAAGGCCGGCAAACTGAACTCTTTCCCTCCCAATATAAGATAGGAATCTGCCAAAGCCACTTTGGAGAAAGCTTATATAAGGCATCATCCTTATATGGAATAAGTTAGGTGCTCCTTGAAAATCTATCAGCAAAGGTTGTTTCAATCTTTAAAAAAACCCTAAAGCCATTTTGATGGCCAAAGGGGGCATTTTCTATCTGAGCTCTAATTTTGTAAATTTTTTTTAGTCTTCTTTAATAAAATTTTATAATTTATATCAAAAAAAATGTTAAAAAAACCTTACAATTGATCATCTCAATATGTATAGATATAAAAAACAAAAAGATTTCGAGTTTTGAAAATAATGCATCTTTTAACAAATTTTCTAGACATTTTCAGAAATTTAAGTGTTCATAGGTTTGCTTAATCTATATATTTTTTTGTACTCTAAATTTTATAATTAGAGATAAAAATAGATTTTTTGCTTAGGCCATCGTAAGAATTTATGACACTTGAACAACAACTTTTAGCAAGATTTAGAGGTTCTTTTAGGAAGATTTAGAGATATAGATGTCTTCTTTTTTTTTTTTGAGAAATTTACGTACGGATCATGATGGGTCAATTACAAAATAATCACGTTTGTCTCAAATTATGAGCGGCACACCCTCACGGCTTCTTTTTCCATTTTTTTTTTTTTTTTCAAGTTACTCATTGTTGGTAATGCGAGCAAAACAAACAAGCTCTCTCTCTCCAAACATGGTGACGTTTCTTTTTTTTTTTTTTTTCAAATAATCACTCCCAACTCTTCTCTCTCATGCTCTCTCCCCCAAACCCTCTATCTCCCCTTAGCTTGCGATCGCTAACGGGAGAAGAGATACATCTTCTTATCAGACACATCTAACCTGAAGGCGCCCTTAGCCTTGGAAGATGAACCCTGCCCTCTATCTATATCACAAAGACAAACAAAGTTCTGATTTTTTTTTTATGTGATTGTTTTTGCCTCTTTTTTTTTAAAAGCAAAACCAATTTAATAGCAATCTTTTGATTTTCCCATGTATTGATATTGCCCGACTTGCTAAACGCCGTTCCCTTCAGGGGCTGTCAAGGTTCTCTCGTCTTCAGAGCGCAGGCGGAGGAAACAGACAGGGAAATACACAGTGAAAGGGGTAGAAAGGGCAAAAGGGTTTGGGTTTCATAACCCCTGAAGACGGGGAAAGGACCTCTTCCTCGTAGATGAAGATCTAAGATTAAGTAGCTGTATTGGTTTGCCACGGGAAGATATTACAAAATGTCTAACAGTGATTTCGTTTATTTTTATCACTGTCCAAAATTTATCGTACGGTCGCGATTGTTTGGTAGTATTTTATTTTTCATTTTTTTTTTACAAATCGAAATGATATGAAATTTAGAACATATGTTTATAAAACATAGGCGAATCTACCAAAAATATTAAAAAAATATTTTACATAAAAAAATAACCAAAATACCCCCGAAATGTTTTGGGGGTATTTTGGTCAATTTGGTTTTCACAAATTATTTTTTTTTGTATTTTTATTAAGTGCGCCTCGCTATTATATACATACGCTTCAAATTTTAGGTCATTCTAATTTCTAGGAAACAAATGAAAAATAAAACACTACAAGACAATCATGACCGTGTAATGAACTTTAATGGTGATGAGAGTATGCGAACTCACTGTCTATTTTCGTCAATAGATATAGAATAGATATTGAAAAACAAAAGAAAGTATTAAGAGAGAGAAGGAGGGAGAGAGAGAGATTTATATTTTGGCTAAAGCAGGCGTCAAGTATAGAATAAGCTATATAGAGAGAGAGAGAGAGAGAGAGAGAGAGAGAGAGGAGGTATTATTAGTTAGAACTAACGCGTAGTCGACGTAAGTAGTAACGAAACACGTACTAGTCGTACTTAGTGTACAACTAAAACTTTAAAATT